TACTGTTAGGTAGATTGCTCATAGAATATAGTTCAAATGCATAATTCTAAGTCCTATGCTCAAGATGATAGAAAGCAGGTCTTGATATTCTGTTGCATGATGTTTTTCTAGGAACTTATTTCCAGCCTCTTGGTTGTATTTTCTCAAGACATGAGCAGTCTCTTCAATTATTTTTTGTAGGCTTAGTTTCCAGTTCCTAATTATCCTTATTGGTGATATCTCTGCCAGTTCAGAATCTTTTTTTCATATAGTGCCCAAATCAGAATACATCACTTCATTGGATCTGCCCAACTAAACATTGCTGGCATAGTGGAGCTTGATTTGGAAACTCTCCTTATGCTGCTGCAGCAAAACTGCATTTGCGTTTTTAGCAATTAAATTATACTGGAGATTCATGTTCGTGAAGTAGTTATATTTACAAATTCTTTTCATCCATACTATTGTTAAGCCAGCTAGTCCCATTTTATAACAATGTATTTTACTCTTTTTTTCCCTTAAATGGAAAACTTTGCATTTCTCCCTATAAAATTTCATTGTTTCCCCCCACACACACCATTTCCTAACTATTATGTTGCAATGATTGTAAACTGTTTCTATTTTCCATATTATTAGTGATTCCATCCAGTTTTCTTTTTTCCTGGCAAATTTAATCAGCATTTTTTTTTTTTTTTTGCCATTTCATCCAAGTCATGAAGATGTTGAAGAGCAGCACACTCAGGACCAAACCTATATGACATCTCCCTTGATGTTTCACACCATTGGCAATCACACCTTAAATACAGTGTGAAATAAGGTCTCTCTTTATTCTCCCAAAACTCAGGGGACTGCAAGACTTGTGCATGTAATTAATTCTCAACTCACTCACTCACTCACAGAATGTAATCAGACAGTTTAATTTTAACTAAATTCTGTCCACATGTTCAGCAGTATTAGGAGACAAAAATGTCACTGTGCATATACAAACCTTTGAAAATATATGATGGGAACTAAAGTTAATCAGGACTTAACATGTGTCCCGTGGATTCCAGTGGATCTTGTCCAGCTTCGTGTGTCACATGGTACATTTCATGCAAATGAAAGATGACAAGTGGGATGAGGATTAGCTGCAATCATAATTTTGACATGGTGAGCATGATCTGTAATAATCAAAAAGAAGCAACTAAGGCCACATATGGTAGATATTACAGCATTTCAGCTGCAAATGTTCCTGTAATTCCTGCCATTAAGAGAAGAGGAAGGAAACACAGACTTGCTCACATATGTTTGGTCTCTTGTGCCTGAGGTCTAGCTCAGAAAAAAACACCAATAAATGGCCTGTGCCCTGAAGTCTACCATTTCAAACTGCAAGTGGGGAACTGTATGGTCAAATGCTTGCCATGAAAGAAATTTCCTACACAAATAAAATGATGACACAAGGGAAAAAAATCGGCTGCAACTCTTCTTTGTGACATCCAATTTTCTATGTTTGGGAATTGTTTTTTTTTTTTTTTCCAAAATGTGGAGAAACTATCAGAAATGGTAACTCCTCTTTCCTCTCTATGTGGTATGTATGGCTCAGAAATCCTAGATGAACCTCATTCATTTGGTGGGGCTATAAGCACACATGGCTAAATAAAAACAGCTTTAATTCAGAACCCAGAAAGTCCTCAAAGGTACTGCAGAAAAAGAATAATAAGAAAATAATCAACAGAAACAGAGAATAGAAATGTAAATATGTCTGCATATTACCAAGCATCACCATTACAAAGGGGGGGGGGGCAACCCCAAACATAAAATGTAGCATAAGATAGAAAAAAACTGGAAAGATAATTTTTTTCTTAGAACATTCCATTAACTTTCTCCTACAGTTATCTCAGTATAAAGAGGAAGCCCCCCTCATTTTACTATTTTACCTATTCTTTGTTTAACTTTCAGTCATCCTAAAGTTATTTTAAATGGACTTGATATGTGTCAATAGTCTTTCTTTTTAACTTTATTAAACACATAGCAGATCTATTCTAAGCATGCCTTCTTAAAAATCAGTGCAAAGGTGTTCAATGGGTCTTGCTGCCAAGTATATGCGTGCAACACAAACACACAGCCTTAATTAGTATGTTAAGAAATAGCCGAATTAACCCTATATCACGTTCTGAGCCTTTGTGAGCTAAGTAGCTTTTAGTCCAATTACTTGCAAAGAAATAAACTGAAGGACATGTTTAATACTTGTGTCAGAATTAGTGAGACTTAAAAGTGCTTAATGTTGGATTCTTTTCACAACTGGGAAATTGTATATCCGTAGTCTGAAGTATGTTTGATTCCTTAAGTCTAAGTGCGAACTGTGCTCAGTCTGTTTGAATTTCCCGGCATGGTTCTGAGAGAGAGGAAAAGAGGTTTTGTCTCATCCCATATGTATTATTACCAATAGATCATGCCATGTCCTCGTTTGGCCTTCAGCCAATATAATTATTTTCCTTCCCACTGAAAGATCCTTGGTTAATGTTAGAGGCATGTTGAGTTGCTAGCTTTACAAATCTTCACATTCAATTTAACCAACACACTTTTAAAAAGAAGAGTGTGTAAGGGTAGATGATGGTCATGCAAGACAAATCTGATCCCTTACCCCAAGGGCACAGCTGTTCAATGTTAATACCAGGCTGCATTAACTTTGACAATTTTTACAATGCTTGTCTTTATCAGTGACAGAATCGACTTTTTCAAGATGAGATGATGAAATTGCTAACTTCCATTTTACTTGCCTGTCTCTGGTTCCTTAAAACAGTTTGACATATATACATAAAGCTTTGCCATTTTTTAAACCTCCACTTTTTTTTTAAAGAAACTTCCCGTTTGATTTCTGGTCAAAATGCTCTTTATTGTATAACTGTTATTGTCATACTGACAATAAGTTTATAAGTTAGATCATAATTCCTGGGTTCATAAACAGATGTGATGTAGTAACAAGGATTATTTTTACAAGGAATTTTGAGTTAGTTTTTACAACTTTTTGAAACTGAGATGAATTCCTAGTGACTTAAAATACATGGTGAGTACTCGATCAGTATATTTTTTTTGTTGTTAAAGGGCTGATAAATATCACAGGTTTGAATATTATACTAACTCAAATTCTTCTGGTAACCTAATGCATATTTGTGTAGACTTGTTTGATATATACATATTGTTTGCAATATTTCAAGTAATGAATATAACACCCAATTTGGAAAAGTGCATTTGGGATATATAACTGCATATGCAGTGAAACGTTTGGGAAGGGTAAATGGTTGTACTCACATACATGCACCAGAATATCATATTCCATGACTTGTCTGAATGTATATTGTGGATACAGTGGTTATTTAGCTTTGGCTAGACTAATAATGGATAAAAGATATCCATTAAAGATAACTATTCACATTACATATGTGTTAGATCAGCATTCCATAACCTGCTGTTTTCTGGACATACTGGATGACAGATTTCAAGTTGATTGGAAACTATTGGGATTATAGACCAGCAATCTGGAGGCATCAGAATAGAGAAGGCTGTATTTGATTGTTCAATTTATATTATTTGTATTTCTATTCCTTATCAATCTTATGCAGAGATTAAGAAAAGCAACCATTGTAACTGTAAGGCATCCATGAGTGAACATTGGCAAATAAATAAAAGCATCTCAAAATTCTACACAAATTATCTACCCAATTATTACCTTATCCTTTTCCTGTGAGGGTTAGGGGTGCAATAATCATTCCATTTTACCTTCAGAACAATTATCTGAAAAATCATATATTGGAGACTAAAAATTATCTGAATTATTTGGAAGGAAAAGATACAATTTATGTTTCAAACAAAGAATCTTCTTTTCCCATCTGATTTAGACCTGGATTTCGGCATTCCATACTACATGGTGTTGTTTCTTGTGTTTCCACCTCTGTATATGTATTTTATTACTTAATTTGGTTTTCCCCAACCTGGTGTCTTTTATATACCATGCAGTATAACTCCTTTTTTCCCCAGCCAGTAATCATATTTTTGCCTAAGTTTTTAAGCAGATAGTTACACCAGCATGGTTTTCTATAGGCAACATTGAAATGATCCATGACTTTATCTGGAATTCAATGTTCTTCCTTCTTCTTTGCCACACTATTTTTTTTATAGTATCCTTCCTGTATTAATGTTTTTTTTCCCAAAGTCACTAAAGTGATTTACAAGAGTCTTAGCCATTTCATGTGAACACACTAAGGAATGCGAGGATTTTCTCAATTTTTTTCCCACAATAAGTTTCAGTTTGCTCATTGTTTCCTCTTGGTATCTAGTTTCGAGACATGATGTGCTGAATTACCTTTAATATCACTTCAGCAGATACAGTGCATTAACTGAGTCAATTAGACATAATTCTTTTATATATGATGTGCAGCTTTCATTGCTCTGTTGTCTGTAGCTTGTCTGACTCTCAAATTAAAGGCAATTGGAGAGATTGGCCCATAACTTGAGAGATAGCTCTTAAGGGAAAAGCAAGACTTTATATCTCTTTCAGGGAATAAAGATAAGAGAGGCAGCTGTTGCATACGTGTTAGTCACTAAATTTAGTTATCTCATTACTCATGTTTCCAGTGGTTGGCTCATATACATGGCTATTAGTTGTTGGCTATCACATTAAGTTGGTTTGCATGTGTGAATGAGTTGGCAGCAGTCTAATCTCACTGAGCTTTTATTTAACGCAGCATCCATTTTTAAAGCAAACCACTTGTTAATGGAGACAGATCACCCACTTGGCTGACAGTCATTAAGGAATAAATTTGTACATGCATGTTCTTCATTTTATGATTGCTTGCAGTTATGGTCTTTTTGTTGATTAAATATCCTAGTGATATTTTATTCACTGGTACTCCCAGAAGTCTGGAAATTTGGATGAAATTTCAAAAAATTGACAAGATTTTAGACTCTAGTTCTTGGTATTTACCTTAATAATATCTTGAGCTACAACATTTTCTTTTAACATTCTATTCCCTTGCATTCTACAGGCTCCACCCATATTTCTTGGCTCTCTCATAATGGACCTCAAGTATAACAGTCTTCCAAGGTTGCAGAGATGCCCAGCAGAAGTATTAAAAGAAAGAAACTACAACCATTAGGAATTGAATCTTACTCCTGATAGTTGAAGAGAGTCTCTGTCCATATTGGTCAGCAAGTCGCCCTCTTCTTTTAAAACATAACTTGGTATTTAGCAGTTAATGCAGCAATAATTACAGTAGACTCAACTTACATAGGAGTTAAGCTGTTTGCTCTGCCGTACATAATACAAGATATATATATCTGTATATTTTACCAGAAAATTCTGAAAATTTATGTTGTATACAAAAATACTGTTGGGGGAGGCACTCCCTATTGATACTGAAAATCATAATAAAAACATGTAATCATGAAAGCCAACAGTTGTACATACATAGGTTTTGAGATGGATGGTCATTCCCAGCTTACTGTTTTTGTTTTGTTTTGTTTCCAATTGTAAAATCTTTGAGGCTCATAGCAATTAATACTATTAGATGAAAAAATATAATTTAGTATTTGCAAACTGGGATTTTTTTTTCCAGAAAAGTCCAGTAAGATAATCTAGTTCAAAGTAGAGCATAGTATGGACCAATTGATTGTACTTTCCCTTCGGGTTTTAATATAATAGATCCTGTATTCAGTCCACAACAGGCTAATCCATGCATATTCACAATGGAATGGGTTTTTTCTTGTAATTTCTTTTCATATTTCTGTCATAATATTTTCATAGATAAGACAAGTGGCTAATTTACAGTAGAACTCTGCTCTGCATAAGCCACACAGGTGAAAATCAAGGATATGATGATATATAATAGATTATGGTATAAACTGACACTTGTAAATTCTCATTAATTTCAAATATATTTTGTTTTTTTCATTAATAGCCAGAGCCTATTCCCAAGGTCTTGTGCTAAGAAATAGCCATGATTCCCAGGAGTTTTCATTAGGAGCTGTCCTAGGTCCTGCTCAATGAGACTCAAGATTAACTGTTACTCAAAAGAAACATACTGCTATTTGTTATTGGACCTTCTTCAGTGATCAGTCTTTTCCAGGTTTTATTTCACACTATTTCAATCTGGGGCTGTAAAAAAAAAAACACCTCAAGGCCATAAAAATAGACTTGGATTTCTGGATAAAATAGCTTTCAATTTAGTCCAATTTAAAACATAAAAAGACATTAAACAATCTATATAGCAAATGTTTTCACATTTCCATCTTTTGCTATGCTATGAAATTCTATGTTATCATCCATAAAATAATTAAGAAAGGACAAATTTGGGGCCAGAAATCCTTTTATTTATACATCATAATGCCTTTAAAAACTGAGCTATCAAGCATATTCCCAGCTCTATATTCTTGTCATATATTCCAGTGGCACATGGGTAATATTACTTTGATTGATACACAATTTAAAAAGTCCTATATTTTACAAGGAAAAATGATCTACTCAGGCAAAGAGCCATTGTCATAAGCAAGCCCATGTTTCCTGGTCAAAGATGAATTACAGATTCAAAGGTTTATTTCCTTTTCACAATACAAGAGAAAAGAATATTTGACAGGTTTCTAGGACTTCAGAAGTCTGCTGACAACCAAAAATAAAATAAATAAAATAAAAAATATGACAGCTCTTAGATCCCAATGTAATTCAACAGGCTGCTGTGCACAAATCAAAGGCAGCATTCAAAAGGGAAATTCTTTTTTCCTCCATTTTGTATGGGAACTATGTGTGATATAGTGGATTAGTTTGCAGGATGTATGTTTGATAAATAGTATTCATTTTATTACTTGTGGGTTTTTTTCCTGCTTTGTCCAAAAAGAAAAGAATTCAGAGCTTTATTTTTAAAACTATATTTTAAAAAGTTTAAAATCTAAGTAAGCTTGCAAACCTTTAGGGAGAATATCTTGGTCACCAACAGATGGTTCAGAGATAGAGTCTCCAAGGGTGATTGAGGAGATCAAAATCAGAAAGTATAGTCCAACTTTGGAACTCGCTTATAATTTTTTTAAAAAAATACTCCTTCTAAAGTTCTTCTTTCTTCTATATTAGAGCTCCAAAATTTGGAAAAGGAATGGGGAGAGAAGAACAATGTCCCTTTTTTAATGTCTGCTGGTGTTGGTTTAGAGCTTTAATATTTATATCTTCAGAGTCTCAGATATGGAGATAAATTTATTAGTTCTGTGGTAAAGGATATTTCTGACTTGGCAAGGAAGCTAACCCAAACTCAAACTCTCTTGCACCATTGTGCAAGTCTAGAGCTGGCAGTGTTTTAGATGACTAAGAGGCTTTTGGATTATAGTTCTGCAAAATTGCAGGTAGATTGCCTCATAAATACTAGTCTATGACAAAAAATAAAGATTGATTGACTCGGGATTTTGATTTTAAACACATACACAGAGAAACACAAACACACTTTCTTTAATCATTAAAATACTTGAGACAGCAATACTACTGGATTTTCAATAGAAAAAAGCATGAATATTTGCATAGCTGCATTATGTATAGACCCAGTTCATTATAGTGATTTAAAACAATAGACATAATTAGTTCTAATCCTGCTTAGGCCCAAATGCAGCCTGGTGGCTTTGGGCCAATCAGTCTCTTCCAGTCCTAGGAAGAAGGAAGTGATTTTTTTTTCCAAAAATGTTGTTCAGAAAACTGCAGGGACTTGTCCAGGTAGTCATCCATAGTTAGTAATGACATGAAGCTCCATATACACACACATGCACACACACAAAACACACATACACACACACATGCATATACAAATCTGAATTTAAGAATGCTTAAGAAATTTGATTTTTGTGAACTGTTAAAAACTAACTTGACATAATATAATATATTCATCATTTTTTTCTTCTTAAATGATTTGATGCAATTTTTTGCTCAGAAAAAAATGAGAAAATATAATAAATATAAGGTTTGAATGGCATTTTTACAAGTTATTGCATGCAATACATTTGGAAATATTATTTTCGATTTTTAAAAAGAATCCAAATATTATGGAAAGCAGGCTAGCATAGACTTTTGAGGAAACACATATAAAACTGCATGGACTGGAAATAGACTGACCTACCCCTTCCCAGACAAGACCTATGGGAAAAAACCCAATTAAATTAGATAAATGGGATATAAAATATGGATATTGTCTCATTAGTAATTGAAGCAATCTGCTAATGAAATGACAGAAATGAAATCAAACCACAACAGAATACATATAAAAATAAAAACCCTCCTCTCTAACTAAAATTGATATAGTAAATGAATGATAACTGACCCTTGTTTTCTCAGGAGTCTGATACATTTACAAAAAGTAGAAATATATAACTTGCTTTTGTCACTGTTGCATAGTGGGTAGAATGTTATACTTGGATTGGGGTTCAACCCCTTTCAGCTATGATACTCAGTGCCTTTGGGCTAATTCTTCTGGGTTTGTCTAACTTCCTCTGGGTCTATCTGGCTTCCTAAGATATAGTGTGACTACTCCATCTATACTGGTCTGAGGTCTTTGGAGGAGATAAAAAAATATCTGTTACAAATGGCTCTGTTAAACCAGGGGTCTTCAAACTTGGCCCTTTTATGACTTGTGGACTTCAACTCCCAGAATTCCTCAGCTAGGCGTGCCTGTGTTAAACCATGCTATGATAATTAAAGTATTTAATATGTTGGTGCAAAGCAGGCACAATCATCCTCAATCAGCAGCTTAAGGCAAAGATCATGTTCACATGGCAAAAAAGAAGTGGCTGCAGATTACTTCCAATCTGGGAAGGAAATGTGCCATTTTACTTCTAAAATTTGTTTCCGTGGGTGGATTTCATTTAGTGGACTATCACTAAAAAAAAAAAAAAAACAACTGTCAAGAGTTTTTGAACTACCTGGAACTAAGGAGAAATTTCCTGACATTAACCAATGGGTCATTATTTTCTAAGAAAGAATGTGCCAGCTATGTAAGATCTTTCCCATGGGCATTGTGTGTTTGTTTTTTTAAAATGAATCAGGGGCATGTAAATAAGTCTGAGAAAAATAACCAGACCTATCTACAAACCCAGAAGGTGACAATCTGATGTAATAGTCAGAATCTTTATAGTTAAATTTCTTCCTTATTAGTATTGGTAAACAGTAGTATTTAACATGGATGAAACTTGCATTAATATACTGTAGCTGATAAAATGTGTTTTTTAAACAATTGTGACTTCATGTGAAGGTTTCTCAAAATATCTATTTTACATGAGGTACAAGCCTCAACTGACATTGCTCAAACATCTCTTTCTTGTTAGCTAACAAGAACAATTAGGAAATGTTTCCAGTAACTTTAATCTCTCTGCCTGAATACACACTATTCATTTTTCTATGTCAACAAATGCTGATACTTAAAACAGATTTCCATAAACTAATTTACCTATTTTTCTATCCAAAAGACATGTCTTCCCTGACTGTTAATTCCATTTGACAGTGAATGGCTGGGTTGCTTAGCCCTGGCAGAACATGGCATTGTTGTGAAGTGATTTCTAATGAACTCTACTTAGAAAAGGACCATAATACTGATAAATTTTGACAACAACAACAAAAAAATACATTATTAATGAAATAAAAACATTGACAGCCTCTGAGAAATAAGCTGATTCCAAAAGAATCCTTAGAAACCACCAGTCTCTCAGTCTAGATATCTACCTCAAAAAATCATGACAAAGAAGAAAATTTTATTGTCCTTTTTTCAAGAATAAGGTTGCTGAACCTATTCTTTAAGTATGGAGAGACAGATTTGTATTGTTATTGGTTGTTTTTTTAAATAAGAGCTCTACTATTGGCTTTTATTAACCAATTGACAAAGTTTTATGTAAGTATTTATTTGCTAGAATATTTGTCTATGGTATTTGTAAAGATTTATAATAAAAGGTTGTGAATAATCCACTTCTTCACAATAGTAGCCCCACACTTTTTCTGAATTCTCTGAAAATTAAAGATGTTACCAATATTCACAGTGCTATATAAGAAGTTTATATATTCAATCATGTATAGATTTCATAACATATGGGTTGCAATTTTGTCCATAGATATATTTATGATAGGTATATCCAGAAACTTTCAAGTGGCTGGTTATTGAGAATCAAATGCAAATCATTTAGGCCTATAAGTAAAACCAGACCGTGAACCCTTGAAAGGCTGCAAGGAGTTGACAGTGCAAACAATTTATTCTGCAATAAGTCTTAAAATAAATGAAAGTGATGGAAACATTTTCTAAACAGCCTAAATTGAATCTAATGACAAAGCTTCTGTGGTGGTTTAAGGTGGAATAAGGAATCTTATTGGAAGGACTTGCTTGATCCTTCTTGATTTGTTTCATAAGAGGTTTATAGATTAAAGCTGTTCAGTGAAGTTTGTTAATGATGCCCAGCTTAAACCGTATTGATTTTAATAGGTGTATTCTGGAAACTGAAGTCCACACATAGTAAAGTTATTGAGGCTGAGAAACACTAAGTTATATGGCATGGGGAAAAAATCAAATATAATCATTGTTTCTTTCTAACAGTTACTCATTTTTCATTCTTTTTCCTAATTTGTTTTAGAAATGGTGTTCCCAACCAATAAAACTCAAAATGGTAGAATATCTGACTTTATAAGGTCATGAATGATGGTTTAGAACATTTGTGTTAATGAAACATTATGTTTTTAATAAATTATTATCACAAAAGACTGAGGTTTATTATATATCATTTTTGTTTATTTCTATTTTTTTCATTTTTTTAAAAAAAAAACAAAAATATGTGAATACAAGGAAAGCACAACAAACTGAAGAATTCTATTACTTAAGTCCTAAGGGTTGACAGATTTCGGTGAACCATTTTATGCAAATGCACTTTCAAAAGCATGTGGTAGACTTTCTGCAAATGTTTAAACTTAAAGCTAAAGTTATTTTTAAATGGAAAAATTCAAGATTTTGAAAAGTAGTCTTTATTGAATTGATTTGCTCCCCATCTCGTTAAGAAACAATAGTATAATGTCTGTAAACCTGGTTCATCACAGTAAGTTTTCTTTTTGGTCCCTTCTGAACAGTCTTGAGTCTTGGAAACTGCCTGGACAAATCACTACAGTTTTCTTGACAAGTTTTTTTCAGAAGTAATTTGCCATTGCTTCCTTCCTAGGGCTAAGAGAGAGTGACTGAGCAAAGATATCCCAGTTTCTAGCTTAACCACTGCACCAAAGTGGTTCTCTTGTAAGAACGACATGACCGAAGTATGGCTCATGTCAGTATCTTAATACTTTTAAAATTATTTCAAACTATTACAGTAGGAAAATAATTAATCCCCCCAAAAGAATGAAGGGAAATACATTCAGATATGCCCCTTGTTTGGTCCAGATGTTTTGACAACTTCTACATAGCTTTGAATATATTAGGGTTTTTTTAAAGACTAAAACAACAATTCAATAGGACAATTTTTAAAAAATGCAAACTTATATTTGAAATATGTATCAGAAATTTACAGTTTCTGAAAATTACAATTTTCTATGGAACAAAACCAATGGTTTCAGATATTAAAATATTAAATAGATTTCTTATCTTAAAACAAATTGATTCAACTACTGCCTCAAAAAAAAGACTTGAACATTGGGTGCTTTCTAATAAAATGAAATTCAATGGTGAAAAAAGTAAGGTTTTACATTTAGACAAGAAAAACCAAATGCACAGGAATAGTATAGGTGGTACCTTGCTCAATAGGAGTAACTGTGAGAGGGATCTTGGAGTCCTAGTGGACAAACACTTAAATATGAGCCAGCAGTGTAACGCAGCTGCCAAAAAAGCCAACACAGTGCTAGGCTGCATTAACAGAGGGATAGAATCAAGATCACATGAAGTGTTAATACCACTTTACAATGCCTTGGTAATGCCACTCTTGAAATACTGCATCCAATTTTGGTCACCACAATGAAAAAAAAGATGTTGAGACTCTAGAACAGACATGTCAAACTTGCGACATCATGTGATGTTGCGCGACGTATCGGGACTTTTTCCCCATTGCCGGCAATGGGGTGGGTGCGGTTTTGGCATGATGCATCTGGCCCGTGGGCTGGCAGTTTGACATGCCTGCTCTAGAAAGAATACAGAGAAGAGCAACAAAGATGATTAGAGAACTGGAGGCTAAAACATATAAGGAACGGTTGCTGGAATTGGGTATGTCTAGTTTAATGAAGTGAAGAACAATGGGTGACATGATAGCAGTGTTACAATATCTCAGAGGCTGCCACAAAGAAGAGGGAGTCAAGCTATTTTTCACAGCACCTGAAGGCAGGACAAGAAGCAATGGATGGAAACTAACCAAAGAGAGAAGCAAACTAAGGAGAAATTTCCTGATAGTTAGAACAATTAATCAGTGGAACAACCTGCCTCCAGAAGTGGTGAATGCTCCAACATTGGAAGTTTTTAAGAAGAGAATGGACAGCCATTTGTCTGAAATGTTCCTGCCTGAGCAGGAGGTTGGACTAGATGACCTCCAAGTTCCTTTCCAACATCATCATCATCATTTTCATTATTATTATTATCATCATCATCATCATCATCATCATATTCAAAAAAGTTTGATGCCATTCTTCTCTTACTGAACATCAGTGAATATTTGTGGTACATCTTAAATCTAAAATCTGTAACATGACTCTTATACATATAACAATTTCCCTACATTTTATTCTAGTAAATATTCTCGAATATTCTAATAAATATGTAAAATATCTCCAGATCCATTCATAATTAATGAGACAATAGAATTAATGGAGAACATGAAAGTAAAACTATAAGTTGCAGTCACAGGATTTCTCGCTTAATGACTGTGGGCGATTTGCTTAAGAACAAAACAGGAGGCGAGGTCGTAAATCCATTAAGTTGACATGATTTTTGTTTTGTTTAGCAACTGAGGATTTAACAACAGAGTTGTCAGTCACAATAGTGGTCACTAAGTGAGGACTATGTGCATTACATGCAATATTAATTGAAGGCTTTTATGCATTTTATTTTAACAATTCATTTTAAATTTGAGAGGAATACTTAGGAATACATCTTTATTTGTTTATAGAATTTTAAGGCTGCCCATTTCAACTTAGTAACACTGGGTGGCTAACAGCTGCTAAAACCATAATATACAGCAAAATAGAATAAACATAATAGAATACAATGTGTCCCAAACAAACTTCCCATACTGTATTATAAAACGGATATAGTGGGCTCCACTAACAGCCAGTCCCATTGCCTGAAGAAAGGCCATACATTCATACTAACATGGACTATATTTAGGCCAAACTATATATTAGAAGAAAGCATTTCAGCAAATGACTAATTAGTTGAGATTCTTTTACACAAGAATTTAAATTGCAACCTCCCCCCCCTTGTTTATGCCTATTTCTCCACCCCTCCAAGATGCAAAGGGATTGAACCAAGACATATAGTGTTATAAAATTCAACTGGTTAAGTTTACCTGGTTTCATAGATTACATCCAGCCCTTTCTTGCTCCCTAAAACAAGTTTTGTTCTCTATTCCTGCATTGGAGGGTTAGGAGAAGGAATAATTGGCTCCCAGAGTCAATAGTGTGGTTTACAGCTTGTCTTTGATTTCTGTGAGGGGGTTTATGCCAGAGTAAGTTAATACATTTGGATCTTGGCCCTTGTTCATGCTTGTTTATTGGCAGAAAAGTTACAATATAATTTTAGAAACCATTCAACTACATCCAAACCATATTTTAAAAAATGTCAAGCAGTACAACATTTTCCGTAGCTCCCTGGAATGCCCTGTGGTAGAACATGAAAAATCAAGTATATTCATTTGCAGATAAGGTTACAGTGTGCCTATCTTCCAATGTACA